GAATTAAATTTCGATTTCTATATGGTCATATCGGAGCAAAAGGGACGGCAAGTGATCTGGAACCATAGGTAAAGCCCAGTGGAGCTGCCTCGGCCAAAATCCTAAACCCTCTCCGATGACCCCCTTCCTATTTCCTGTTTCACACGATTCTTTGACCATCATTGTAACACCCAACATTTATTTTTTTTTTATTTATATATATATATAATTATTTGTTAATTGAATTTAATTTGGTTTATTTTAATTTAATTTAATAATAATAATAATAATAATAATAAGGGTAAAAATTAGTTGAGGATTTAATTGAAATTTTTTTTAGAAAAAATGGGTGAAAATTTAGATTATGTGAGTATTTTTGAAAGAAAAATCAGAAATCGGATGTCAAAATACAATTTAAAAAAATTTCACCACGTTAGATGTCCGGTCAGCAGCTTCGACCAACTAGGACGCGCTAGGTGGCAGAGGCGCTGACGCAGGGGGCCACGTGGGGGGAGCCACATGGGTGATCCGCGTGCGCGCGCTCGAACGGCTGAGATCCGTACCCGTGCGCACGGACGGTCCATATTGAATCGCGATGAACGATCTAGATTCACTCCTTATTTAATTACGATCGGACGATTAAGATCAAAAACGATAGACGGCTTAGATCAAAAGTGGATGGGTATAAATAACCCCATCTGCACTCAAACCCTAACCCTAGCCGTCAAAGCCCCTCGCCGGAAAAGACAGCCTAGCCATCGGGGAGCCGACCACCGCCGCTCGCTGCTGCACCAAAGCAATTTTCAACCGCCAAACGAGGTAAAATTTTTTTCTTTTATATAAAATTCAATTTTAAACCCACACATGGCTAAATCGGAGTGAAAGAACTGGCCAATTGGTTGAAAAACGCCGTCGAAGCTCGGCGGCGCCGCCACGGGGTGTTTCAGAAAATGCCTCCGATGAGGCCCTTTCTGATTCCCGTTCGATATGATTTTTCCATCGTTGTGATCACCGTTTCCTTCTCTACAGGTTGACCAGAGCAAAACACTCAATCGCAACGTGAGCCGGAGGAGCCGTCGTACCGGAGAGCCCCACCGTCGGTGAGTTTTGGTTTTCTATGTTTTTTCGGCCCACTGAGGGCCCTAAGTGTGTTTTCTCGCATGAATCGATATAAATTTGGCTGAATTCAGCAAAAAACAATCAACCCAAGTCAGATTGCCGCTGCAGGCGGCGGCGCCGTTGCCAGAGCACGGTAGAGCCGCCGTGCCAGATTTCAGAAATTGGCTGAGTAGGCCATGGGTCTAATTTTTGGGTATTTTGGGACATTTGTAGGCACCGTGAGCGCGTTTCAGTTCTCAAATAAAGATTTAGGGAACCCAGGGACCGCCCGTAGGCGCAATAACCACTTAGTTTTCGGCATCGAATCAAGTAAGGACCTCTCACCCTATTTCTTATTACATAATTGAAGTTCAAATAAATAATAATACGGTCTTTTGTACAAATTAAATAGTTATGCATAATTAATTACAGATTACTAATTGAGTCCGAATCGGACATTATTCTCTGTTGATTTTTGTTGACTTATTTTACAATTTAAAGGCATGATGGTATCTGGTTTAGGATTTTAAATGCATGTATTACTATCTTACGTGACCACTGTGTGATTTTGGAATTTAAGATGTGATTGCATTACCGGGTGCATGTCCATTGTTTATATGATTGTGTTTGATTTGGTAACGGAGACTAAGCGGAAACAGGAAAGGGGTGTGATCTAATAAACAGGTAAGTTGACAGCCTCACTAGATATTCTGGGAGATGGTGGACGGACCGGATTCATATGGAACCCTATCGTGAACGTTGTCTCATACCGAATGGGGAATGGAGACTTGGTAATTTGGCGCTCATATAGGACGGGTTATGGGGACGGCCCGTTTTACCCTCATACCGGACGGGGTATTAAGGTTTAATGTCTTGGTGCTTATACCGGACGGGGTATGGGGACGACTTTGTAATTAAGATTGTTAAGGAAAAGGGTTCTCGTGTAACGGAGACACCCCTATGGATCCCTATGGATCCCTATGGATACTAGTAAGCTGGTGAAACGAGAAATGATTACGAGTTCGTCTATTGTTAATGGATATGAATTTATAATATATACTGTGATAGTTGATTATGCATGAAATTACGATCTGTATGATATTATTGCTTCTATGATTTGTTTTTATAAATTCTCCAATTGTAAGAAAAATGGTAAATGGTTTATTTTAAATAAATGTATAGGGTTAAATCTAATACTCCATTGGTTGTTTTGATTTTCTATCAACTTTTACTTCTGTGACAGTGATATAGTGTGATGTCCTTACTGGGCTAGTGTAGCTCATTTCTTATTTAACTATTTCAGATCAAGAGGACCTGATTCCTATTGATGATCTCTTCGATCAGTTGCAGGGTGCACAGGTCTTCTCCAAAATAGACCTACGTTCAGGTTACCATCTGGTGAAAATCAGAACAGAAGACATCCCTAAGACAGCTTTTTGAACTAGGTACGGACACTATGTGTTCTTGGTCATGCTATTTGGGCTAACCAACGCCCCAACCATCTTCATGGATATGATGAACAAAGTTTTCAGACAATTCTTAGATCAATTTGTTATCGTGTTCATCGATGACATCCTGCTTTATTCAAAAAGTAGGGAGGAACATGCTCACCATCTAGCTCAGGTTTTGTAGGTTCTTAGAAGAAAAAAACTATATGCAAAGTTGAGTAAGTGTGAATTTTGGCTTGAGCAGACCACTTTCCTATGACACATCATATCTAAGGATAGAGTATCAATGAACCCTGAAAAGGTTAAAGCGGTACTCGGCTGGGAGAAATTGACATCAGTTAAATAAATCTGTAGCTTTTTAGGAATGACGGGCTATTACTGCAGGTTTGTTGAAGGATTTTCTAGTCTAGTTGTTCCCCTAACCTGGCACACAAAGAAGAATGTCAAGTTTTAGTGGAATGAGGACTATGAAAGAAGTTTTTAAGAACTCAAGAAGCGGCTGAGTACTGCATCTGTGATGGCCT